GGGGGGGGGGGGGGGGGGATTCCCTCTTCCTCTGCCACCACCAGCGGGTTCTGAAATGAATACTTTCAGACCTGGAGCGTCGGTGTATTCCAACGACGTGGGCAAGCCAGCGGAGCCGCTTTGTAAGTGCCGTCGTTGTAAAGCTCATACAGCTCATCGTTCAACCGTTTGGGGTACTCGCCGTCGCCAGCGTGTAAAGGCCCGTAAATCTTCCGCAAAATCTTTCTCTCGAATACTTCAAGAGCCGCCTCATCGGTTGTTGTTATTTGTCTATGCTTCTGCGCCATATACCATCACGGGCATGATGAGTGAGAGCGTTGGATTTCCATGCTGACATTATTATCTGTGTTAATGCTGGTTCCCAAGTAAACGAAATTCTCTACTTTCTCGAAATTATAACTGTCGACAGTGACGTGGGTGCCAAGGCGCGAACGTGCCGACTGTCTTCGTCTTGTCCTCGCCTATCAAACTACGTAATTTGCAGATTGAAATCAGGTTTACAAATGATTAAGTCGTTCTTGAACTTAGTGAGTTCGAAAGTTAAGGCCGATTCATCGTTCTAGTTGTGAACTAAAGTTGAAGTTGATTTCACCACTAAAAAGCGAGCAGAACTTTTCTAAGTTGCTCTCCCACAGAGAAAAACACAACAACAACGACATGGGGGAAAAGTTCTGAACTGATGAATTCATCATTCTCGTTCAGAACTTTTTTATTCCATGTGGTTGTTGTTGTTGTGCTTCTCTCTGGAAGAGCAACTGAAAAAAGTTCTGAACGTTTTTGAGTTAACTCAACTTCAGCTTTAATTTAGTGCCAGAACGTTGAATCCGCCTTAAAGCATGTCACTTTGCAACGGGCACTATGCAAATTGAGAGCAAATAAATAAATTGGCATAGCTCATCTCACAAAAGCTTTGAAGTTAAGTCAAGTGGTAGTGGTAAAGTTGCTGGAAAATTCTGAAATTAGACTGCAATCGCTTTTGTATGTAATATAGTAATATATCGCACACCGTCTTCAAAAAAGTCACAACTCAAAATTTGGCATTTTTGAGATTATGCGCTAAAAATGTACGCAGAGCTTTTGTTTACCTTTCAGCAAAAGCTGGAGTAAATCTTTGTTATAATTTGTTAAAAAAAAAAACCTAAGGTAAAGTCGCCCTTGCCCATGTGCTAAGAAATAGTTTTTCGCATTTTCTGACAAACGTATTATTTTGAGTTGTGACTCTTTTGAAGACTGTGTGCGATATAAGCATGTGCCTATATACAGTATTTGTCATATCTATAGTACCCTCATTTCAAAGTAATGTTTTTTGCCACTTATGTTTAATTTTCCATATAAGCCCAAGTTTAAAACTTTGTAAGGGACTACAAAAAATTCAACAAATTTTCATCCAAATTTCAAACTTTTCTCAGAAGTTTTAGAATTTTTTTGAGAAGAGAGTTTTATAGCCCATTCAATTTTAGTCTAACAATGTGCAAGTCTCAAGTGACTAAAAATTTCCGGTGATTTTTTTGTCGCATTTGCTTCCATATAACGAATAATTACAGTTTATTTTTATATTTAACCCGCAACACCTTCGGCTAAAAAAATTCTAATAATTAACGGTAATTTTTAGCCACTTGAAACTTGCACATTATTAGACCAACGTTAAATGGGCTATAAAACTATGTACTCAAAACTATTCTAACACTTCTGAGAAAAAAGTTTGACATTTGGGTGAAAATTTGTAGCAGTTTTTGCAGTTGGCTGCGAAGTTTTAAACTTGGGGTTACATATATGGGTTTTGTCAGAGAATGAACTGTATTTCGATTGAAAATTCCTAAAAATAAATAAATAAACATGAGCGGGAAACAATATCAATTTGAAATGGGTGTGCTATTGTATTGGTCTATACTGTATATATTTAAATATAACTTATTAATTAATAAATAGTAAAATTCTTTTATCAAAAATATATAGGTTTAGGTAAAAAAGGCTTACGTATTATGGCTGTTCAGCATATTTTGCATATGCTCCAGCATTTGCATATTCGTTGCATTTGTAACATTACAACAATAAAATGCACCCGGTTGTCATGCCCTTGCCTTGCCTTGAAAAAGCTTCTCTTAAGATCCATTTGCCGTTCTAAAGTGGCTTGAAAGTGGGGGTCCCTCCATTTGTGTAACAACATCGAGGCACACAACATAAGTTGAAGAAGAAACTCGGCCAAACACTTTGCTAAAGTGTAAGCGAAAAAATATTATTATGATGACAGTACGAATGGCAATTATAATAGGGAGGTTTTAGTTTTTTAAACTATAATTTTATTAAATTATTATTTTGGATGCATTTTACAAGTCGTAACACACTACCTACTATCCTCAATCTACTCAATTGTTTTATATTTCTTCCCTCGCCAGCTTTCTTCACACGCCAAGCTCCTGGAGAGCCAGTTAAGGTTTACACAAATTCTGCAATGCATTACGCTCGTCTTTTTGTTGGCTCTGTGTGTAGCGGTTGTCTATCTTTGGAAAACGCAATTGAATCGCATGTCCGGATGCATCGGCGAGGAGGAATGCAGCGCTGCAGTTGCAGGCAACTGTCCTGGGCGGAATCTATAATATTTACTTACAAAATGCAATTTGACCAAACAGCACCTACTGGCACCCACAGCCGCAGATAGGTTGCGTAGACGAGGTCATGGCAGCAGCAATGCTCCCGACAGCGAAGTTGACTGTAGCGATTTTGAAGAAGTTATCGGCGGCGGTGATGGTTTCGATTACGATGAATCTACTCTTGATAAGGGCGGTGTTGCGGGAGGTGGATACCTGCTTGGTCTGATCGCATTTGCACGTAAATTTGCGCGCATTATAATCACGATTTCGATGCTCTTTTGTATTATATTTATCTCGTTTTATTGCTGCTCCGAGCCGAGGGCAACAATAACCGCACTGGCTCCGCCAATTACACCTCCATCCACATCTATAGAGGTACATTTACGGACGCAGGCGCATAGAAGATGGCCATCAAATTGATGAGTTTATATCTAATTTATTATATTTTAAAATGCATTAACTATGAACAAAAGTAATATGGGCAATATATGAATTATGTCTGTACAAAATGATTTTTAGGGAGAACATAAATTTGCCTAAGCATATTTGTATACATTGTTGACGTTGTGCATTCTAGAGCAGGGATGGCCAGATTGTTTGCAGTCAAAGAGCCAGCAAGTGCTACGCAAGAGGTAAATTGGTTCTCAGGGTAAACGGGGTGTACAAAATACATTAAAAAAACATAATATATATTTGTAATGAGAGTCGAAATACAAGAAATTTGAATACGCTCTTAATACCCCTTCATGCTGGCTCTTGATGTTACCCCACATCTACCATCTAAATGTGCCAAGCCGGCTCCTAAGTTTAAAAGGCCACCTGGGAGCCACTTTGCCCATCTCTGTTCTAGAGCAAACGAACAAAATAAAAGCGCTGGCCAATTGCATATTTAAATTATGAAGTATGTAGAGCAAACCATGCACAAAAATATATTATCAATAGGGGATCGTTGAAGTCTTGTAAAGCCTACGGGGGAAAGCTTGACAACTCGGGCACCGTGCTAGGGCTTTGCAAGACTTTGAAGAATCTCCCTAATATTGTTTTGTAAAATCGGTATGATTATATCCCCAGACAATAGGATAATAAACATTTACATATTTATATGTTTAAGGTGTATTTGTGCGCATTTACTTTTCAAAATACGTATGTATCTATATTGAAAAAAACAAACTTAAATATATTATAAAATAAAGGAATAACATTCAGAAATATTGGTAATCATTGGTAGAAATTTGTACTTATTCACTGCGCCCAACAACAAAACGGAAAAGAAACAGCTAAGCCTGCGAATTTCATAAACAGAAAAAAGTTACTTCGAACGCAGCCAGTACAGTAAGGCCGATCTAGTGTGAAACCAATATAAGGGCAAATAATTCAAAAACCACATGCAGAAAGATGAAAATACATGCAGCTCATCAGATACATAACTACGTTTTCACTACTTAAGAAATATAAAAATTCAGTTAGTAATCTGTTTATTTTAGTTATGCTTTATTAAAAACCCAAAAATGAACTACATATGAGATGTACAAATACTACAATAAGTATTTCTTGTTCTTCCAAGTCTTATTATGTTTAATTGCATAATAATTATAATAAGAAATCAATCAATACAAATAATAATGTAGAGAACATCACATCAGCTTATGCTGGTGTGGGCTCTAGTCGTAACTAAGTGATTTACGTTATATTTTATTAACAGTCAACAGACGGGAAAACTATATTTAAACAAAAAGTATAAAAAACAAGCTCAATTCTCCCAGTTGTGATTCTCAGAGATTTTTTATTTCTTTTTACGCCCACGTTTCGCAGGACCTTTCCCAGTTTCATTGTTTTCAGATGTTTGCTTTTCTAGCTCCTTTGTATCGGCAGCTTGGATTTCCTCTGGACTAGCATCGCCATTCGCCTTTGTCGAATCCTCAGTGTCTGTTGATAGTTTTTCCTCATCTTTAGCTTTTGGTGCTTTGATTTCTTTATCCTGGACAGCTACCGCTAGTGCTGCTTTCTTCAATTGACTGACTGATTTACCTAATTCTGTTTTCGATGGCTTTGGTGGCTGCTCTTCGCTTTCGACCAAAAATATACTGTGCTGCCCTCCGCTGGACACACGAATAATTCTTTTACCTTCCGTTTGTTTGCTTATAATTTGTACGGGTTCTAGTGCATCATCATCAGACGCAGTTCCTAGCTGGTAATTGGAACCCATCCCCCACGAGTACAGTTTACCGTCGTCAGTTAATGCAAAAGATTGTGCCTCACCACAAGACACATAAACAACAAATTTGTCCGCCAAACTTTTTATAAACTGCAGCTCCTTGATGTCACTACTCACACTTCCGAGTCCAAGGCGGCCATAGTCGCTGCGCCCAATAGAATAACATGTGCCGTCATTCTTAAGTAGTAATGTATGATGCTGTCCGCCAGCAATTTGTTTAATATTTTGGAATTTCGTGTCAATAGGTTTAATAATAGTTGCAAGGTCTTTGGCATATGCCAACTGCTTATAATTGTTCAGTCCGAATGCCCAAATTTTACCAGTTTGCGATTCCCGCAAGAATGTGCAGTAATTTGTGGCCCATATAGCCTCGATTGGTTTGCCACGTTTGATGACGACTTCTCCCGGACGAAGCAATTCTGTTTTACCACGGCGACCTACGGAAAGAACAAATCAATTAAATTAAGTTACACAACATGTAGAATCCAATAATTACTTTCGCCGGAAGCTGATCGCAACGATACACGCCCTAATTGGCCTTGTTCAGCACAACCAACAGTGTAGACCTTTCCGGCACATGTAAGTATTACTAAGTGGTCAGCCCCGGAAGCGATGTCGCAGCATTTGGTGCCTGGCAAAACATCAATGGGAAGACGCTTATTTCCTTCAAGTGTCAAACCCATATTTCCATGTGAGTCGCGGAAGGAGCCCCATGCAAAAACGCGACCATCTTCCAGCAAACTGGCCGAATGTGAATCACCTGCTGAAATTTTAAGTACTTTTCCAGGTAGGTCAACTGGATGAGGTTCAAATTCCGAACCATCTTCGCTGCTATCACGGCCCAAAGCACCTTCATCATTACAACCGAACGAGTAAACAATGCCTTCGTGCGTCAAAACGAGATTGTGCATACCGCCCGCCCGCACGTCTACCACATTCTCTATAGAATCTACTAGAGCGGGTCTTTTGCGTTCGAATTTCGACTCATCGTCGCCGAGACCGAGTTGACCCATATCACCTTGCCCGCACACTAAAGCACGCCCCACCACGTTTGGCCGCTCAGGTAATGGCAGTAGAAAAGCTATACGTTGCCATTTTCGTTTCGGGGCATCTAATTCCTCATTGTTGTTGCTGCTACTATTTGAGGGGGTAGGAGCCTTTCTGCGTACGGCAATTCGCGGCATATTCTTAATTATTATTAAATGAAATTTGAGAAATTTACTGCTTGTATGGTTGCACTATCCGCAGAAACAGTGTGCGGTGAAACTCTTAAAAACAGATAAATTAACATTAAAGGTTAGACACGATTATAAAATTGTCGACGGTGATAGATATACCACCATGTGTAATTCAAATTTACTCAGTCTAATAAACTTACAATTTGTTAGCCTTTTTACGAATTTCACTAGGATGACACGCCGGCTATCATCCGGATGGAATTAGTAAAATTTAACTTTTGCGCCTTGATTTTAATGACGTTTTCTGCTGATCTTTTCGTATTTTGGCCAAACATATACTTTCTTCTGGTGATTCTAATAGACTGCACTTCAGATGTTTCCAAAATTTCAACGTTATGTCTGCACGCGCGGGAAAAACGGAAAACGGCCGGGTGTTGAAAAAATTAGGCTGGTTTTCTTTAGGGATGTCGGAAAAACATCGATGCACCGAGAATATCGATGCTTAGCTTCGTGGCATCGACATTTTTCCACTCGATGTATAAATGGTCGATGTATTGATGTTTTTTCAAAACTGACATCTGTAGTACACTGAGTAGAGCTGTAAAACTATCGATAGTCATCCCATTCGATGTTTTTGATAGTTGCATTGAAATTATCAATACTATCGATAGTATCGGATAATTTTAAAATACGTTGACGAAGCTATTTATATAAAGTTTTTAGTTTTGTTTAGTTTATGAAGAATTAGCTAATTGTTATCTAGCGATTTTCAGTAACTTTGTCCTTTCTGTTCGATTTTTTAAATATTTTAAACCGATAATATTAAAACCTAAAATCCCCAATCGTAGAAAAACAGATCGCTTGGAAACGTAAAGAAAACTGTATGTATTACAAAAAACTTTCATCAGTCAACTCCGGCTGCGCCACAGTATTTTTGCATAGAACTCACAACAAAATTTACGGAAAAGTCCATATTTCAAGCGTAGGTTAAAAGAACCCAAATCATTTTACAAATAGCCGAACCATACCCCGACTTCTACATGAATATTTGTCCAGTCAAAGTATCAAAAGAAAATAAAAGCATACCCAAAATGTGACAAACCCTGGCTTATATCAACAGTTTCTTCCATCGACGCAGAAGCACTAACACCATAGTAAGGTTCCAAAAAGATATTCAAATTAGTTTTTAACCGACTTCAAAAAAAGGAGGATGTTATCAATTCGTCGGAATATTTTTTTTTAGGTACGTTACCGAATAACTTTGGACCACGTCAACCGATTTAGATAATTATTTTTGCATCGGAAAGGTACTAATCTTTAGATCCGATCATTGGATCATGAAAAAATTAACGGTACTCTTAATTTTTTATATGAGAATTGAAGTCGGTTGTTGTTGTTGTTGTTGTAGCAGCATACAAGTTCCACAAAGGGATTTTGGGGAGTGTTGCTGGAGTGACAGTCCTTGGTCCTTGGTTTTCTTTTTTGCTTAAAAATTACTTGTTTTCAAATTTCATTACACCCGATTTACATGATTCAAGTACTTAAAGCAATTCTAGTTCATTTTCTTTTGTGTTTTCTATTTGCTTTTACACGCTTCAATGGGAAACAACGAAAATTTCAAAAGCAAAGCAAGAAAGTTGTAAAGACTTGACGGTACAGACGCGTGTGTTCTCGTCCCTTTTCTTCTCACTCCCTCTCTTCCACATGCGAGCAGAATTAAATTCAATACATACTTGAACCGTGTACAAACCTTCTATGCAAATCGGGGTATGCCCTTCGATGCATCGAAAAATATCGATGTGTATCGAATAAAAGAAAAAACATCGATATATTTTTTCCACTGACATCCCTAATTTTGTTTTCTATATGCAGGTATCGCAATGCAAGTCACAAGTATCGTAGAGTTCCATAAGACTAGGTTCACACAGAGAAACTTTTGTTCCTCATTTTCGGCAATTTCTCTTTTGGTGTTGCCCTTCGCGTTCACACAGAGAAATTCTTTTGTACACAGTTGTTGTTGTCAGCTGTGAACGGCCAACTAGAATTACTCAGACGAACGAGAGCACAAAGCGTGTTGCCCGAGCACAAGCAACTCGGTGCCCTTCCCCCTTCCTCGTCTCCACCTCTCCCACAACGAGTTGCCGCTACAAAAGTTTCCCCGTCTGAACCTTGACTAAGTAAAGTAACTCTTCTTCTTACCGTTTTGTCTGGCTGTAGGTGTGTTTTTGGTTAGACAAGGTTAACACAGAGAAACTTTCGTTGCTCATTTTCGGCAATTTCTCTTTTGGTAGTGCCCTTTGCGTTCACACAGAGAAATTTCTTTTGTACACAATTTTTGTTGTCAGCTGTGAATGGCCAACTAGAATTACTCAGACGAATGAGAGCACGAGCAACTCGGTGCGCTTCCCTCTTCCTCGTCTCCCCCTCTACCACAAGTTTCTCCGTCTGAACCTAGACTTAGTGTATTGGTGTTTTTGGTTCAGTGTCTTAAGCTCGTCGGCGATTTCAAGCATCCGTTGATGGTTACCCCAGCAACCGAGGCAATCGGAGATCGTCGTGTCACACGTACTTGTTGTCGGCTCGCGTTAATGGAAAATCAAAAATTTTTGATTTTCCATCAACGCGACCGCTTGACAAGCGGTCTGTTTGATAGTGGCGCAAAGCGTTGACAAGCATTAGTGTGTTAGTTTGTTGTGATATATAAAATGAGCAAGTTCGCGGAAGATAAAGATTTTACGTTGCGGTTTATTGAAATTGCAAATGGTGTTGACGCTTTATGCTTGAGTGTCGCCGGGCAAGCTTCAAGCACCCGACATTCAACCCGACACTCACACATGTACTCGTTGCTGGGGTAACCATCAACGGATGCTTGAAATCGCCGACGAGCTTTAGTGTATTTTGAATAAATTGTAATAGAAATAAAAGAAATTGGAAAAGATAAGAGCGCATGCCAAAAAATAGGTGATCTCAGCTATAGGTATTTTTTGGCAATCAGCTGATAGTTAGAAAATAAGTTTTTTCTTTCTTTCCTTCCCGCGTGATCTTGTTAGCCTGAACACACAATAAAAACGACGAGCTACGGACCACAGCTGCCAAATTATTTTAACACGTACTCTTATGTAGATAATTATTTAGGCGACGATTGGGCTAAGCGACGACTGTGGTTGTGACCAGATTAGATCTATTTTTATTTTTCCAGCGACATATAAGGTTCTTCCTCTTCTTTTATGTCAAACTCATACAAATTCATGTTGTCGCTGTCGCGTAAAAAAAAAAATCATG